TGTACATTCTTCCATCTATTTTTCAAATTTTCATTCTTGTTACCATCATTGGGGCTTAGCATAGGATTTTCTGCACTTTCAGTTCAAAATTAGGCATTTGGTGCCAGTTTGATCGATCACAAGATCACCTTCGATCGATCGAATTGTTCTTCGATCGATCCAACTATGGATTCGATCGATCGAACTCCACTTGAGTCCCAACACTTAGAAAAATTTTGGACCTGCATCCAAATTCCAAAATGCATGTTCTCGGGATCTCCAAAATTTTACATGTTCGATCGATCGAATTTCATCTCGGATCGATCACAGCTATGTTCGATCGATCGAACTTCATCTTCGATCGATCACAACTTTGCCCCTTTGACCCTTTGACTTTTTAATTTTTTCCTATTTCTATTTTTATTTTATTTTATTTTATTTAGTTACTTCTATCTTGGTATTAAAAATAAGAAATATATATATAAATAAAAAATAATAATAATAATATTTCTTTTCTTTTATTTTATTTCCTTTTATCTTATTTCCAAAAATTCAAAAATATTTTGTTTAACTTTAATTTTTAATTATGAAAAAAAAAAAAAAAATCTTTGCATTCCTTATTTTCTTACATTTTTATTTACTTGCCTTTTTATTTTTATTTGTGTACATATTTGTTTTGTCTAAAAAAAAATAAAATAATAATAAAAAAAAGACGGTTTCTCAAAGAAGCATTCCGTCTTGTTAGAGACGTTAAACTTAGCACCCATTTTGCATATTTCTTATATTTTTCATTTTTCTTTGCATGTTTTCACATATATATTAAAAAAAAAAAAATGAAAAACAAAAAGTAAGAAAATTTTGTATATACTTGCATTGTACATATTCTTTCCATTTTTTTTTTTTTTTTTTGCATTGTACATGTTCCTTTTCATTTCTTGCATTGCACATATTGTTTTTCATTTCTTACATTGAACATATTCTTTCATTACATTTTGCCTTATTTAATTTTCTTTTTATATTTTGTTCATACATTTTATTCTTTGTTTTTCTTGCATTTTGTATATACTTGCTTTCATTAAATGAAAAATATAAAAAGATTCATCATTGTGCCCTTATGTGTAGTCATGCATACTTTATGCTTTAGTTAGGGCTTGATCTTATATCTCTCTTGCATCATGTGTTACATTGCCTTAGAATGCTTGATTTGATTATTCTTATCCCATTTGATATTTGATGTGAGTTTGCTAGCGTGGTTATTCAAGTAGGTTGTTGATTCCAAGTTTGGGGGAGACGTCTTTCGAATTGGATCATGACCGGGCTTCATGTCTACACCACCACGGTATACTCTTTCCATTTTTTTTCCATTGTTCTCATTGCACATTGAGGACAATGTGCGGTTTAAGTTTGGGGGTAAGGTGTCTTGTTACATTCTACTTAAGATTTGAGCTTTAAATGCATAATTGAGATTTGAGATTGACGTTAGCTATGATTTTAATCTTTTGAGGACTATATTGCTTAAAATTTAAAAATTGCTTGACTTGAGAGTCCAATACTCCTTGTATGCCTTGAGGATGCCATTTAGGAGTAAATTTTTCAAAAGATTGATATCTTGCTTGCATTTGTGGTCCACATAATCCTGATTTTGTGATTGTTTTGAGATTCATTCTAGGATTCTACACTAGCACCGGTGCACACTAGCATTCATTGTGGGGTACATGCTTTGTTGATTATTGAATTGGTTATATCCCAATTGGGCTAGTAGTGCATTAAAAGCTTTCATTCTTGATAAAGGTGGATAACAACCCCTTTTCATTGAGTAGCCGGGATTCTTGCCTCATTAAGCAGTGAACTTCTCGCGCCAAAAGGTGGAGGGCTCAAACTATAGGTTAATAATTGATTTCAAAAAAAAAAAAAAAAGAAGTTGCAAAAAGTAATAAAAGTGAGGACTTCTCCCAAAAGGTGAGAAGTAGGAAATGATTAGATGGTTGTTGTCTTGATTTGTAGCTTAGTTGATTTGAGTTTATAAGTCCGTAGGGGTGTCTTAACACCTAATGCCCTAAAGCCATCTGGTTTGGGAGTCATTGACCTAACGCTCGCTACATGAATCTTCTAGAAAGCTTAAGAGATCAACACATTGCACAATATTTCCATCTTTGATCCTCAATAAAAAAAAGAAAAAAAAAGGAAGAAGAAAATGAGTAAAAAGAATAAGCGCACCTAGAACAATAAAGCTTTAATAAAAGGTCCACTCTCTTATCTTGATGATCGGGACTAGATTTGTGTGCTAGTTTGAGGGTAAGGATGTGACTACTTCTCTAGTTAGCTAAGATAACAACACACTTGATGCCGGACCTCTCACATAGATTCTAGACTTGTTTTGATTTTCATGATCATTTTCTTGATGTGTGGAGGAACATGCTTGCTTGCTTGATATTGAAATTTTGGGAGATTGCTTGGAAATGATTGAAAAATTGCATACTTGAGGTAGTTTTCTCCCAATGCTTGTTTGCAATATTGGTGCCTCTTTTGAAAAAATGAGTTTAATGTTTGTGGGTACCATTTCTGGAAACCCTCACGAGACTTTACTCGTCCACTAGGGGTAACCTAGGGGTTTAAAAGGCTTGTTGCATATGCTAAATGCAATCGTGTTCCCTACGAAAGTGGCGCTATCATTTTACTTGCTTTCCAGTTTATACTTGTTTAGTTATTCATTTCATTCCTTTACTTCTTAGTTCATTGCTAGGGACTAGCAATATTTAAGTTTGGGGGTGTGATGAGCACTGAAAAGTGCGCATTTAAACCCGTTAAGCTTAAGCATTCTAGTACCTTTATTTATCTTATTTTGCCGTTTTAGACTTATTACGTGTTATTTATATTTTCAGACACTAATCCCAAAATTAAGCTAACTCAGCCAAATAAGAGCTTAATTGAAGCAATCCTGAGATAAACCAAAGGAGGGAGCAAAGTGGAGAAAGCAAGGAGCAAAAAGGAATCAAAGTTGTGCAGCTGAAAAGTTCGATCGATCCAACTTAGAGTTCGATCGATCGAACATCTATGATCGATCACAGTACTTCTCGATAGATCCAACCTTGGCCTTTGCTGAAATTCCAAGTTCGATCGATCCAACTTAGAGTTCGATCGATCCAACATCTATGATTGATCACAGTACTTCTCGATAGATCCAACCTTGGCCTTTGCTGAAATTCCAAGTTCGATCGATCCAACATCACCTTCGATCGATCGAACCCTATTTTGTCCTATTCAAATGATTGATCTTATCCACAGCTGTACGCCTACCAACCACTTTTGTCCTTTTCCCCATAAATATCTTCGAAATATCTCAGCCTTGTCCTTATCCGGAGGAGTCAGACCATTTCGATCGATTCAAGATGCAGTTCGATCGATCGAACCCATCTTCGATCGATCCAACTTAAGGTTCGATCGATCGAACTTCCTCCAGCGAGAAAAAGTTAAAGTCCAGCTCATTTATTCCGTCCTTCACCCAATCATTGGAGAATATGCCTTGCACGACCACAGCTCATCATAGGGTGTATTTGACCTACCTATATAAGGAATATGATACACTTTTTGGTGGAGAGTCTAGAGTCTCTTGTGACACACATTGAAAATCATCTTGGAGGCTATTCTTGGAGAGGAAGAAGGGCGGAAGCTAGAGCAACCATTGGAGGAGGTCTTCATCTACAAGGAGCAGCCATGGAGTCAGCCCTTGAGGGTTGGATCATCACTACCATGAGTGGCTAGACATCTTCTTAGGGCTAGAGTTAGCCCCAAGCATGCTTTCTATACTCTAATCTTGTGTATTATTGAGGGATTAGTGTTGTATGATACATCTTGATATTCATGTATATATAAATCTTGATTATTTCATGGTTTGTATGGTTTAATGCTTCCAATTTACTATTCTATTCTACCCATATGTCTATGTATGCTAGAGTAGGATATTCATGTGTTTATCTCTAGATTTAGTGTTTTTGATGCATGTCTATGTGTATTGATGCTATAGATCTAGAGATTATCAAGATGATATGCTTAATGAATGCTATTTTGGTTCATTTGATGGTTTATGCCTATTCTTGATGGTTTGTGCCTCTCCCCTAGTCTAGATAGCTTTATTTTCATGCTAGTAGTGTAGATTTAGTGTAGTGGTAGTATAATGTTGGATGAGAGGACAATCTACTCTTGATGTTTGATGTTCCATGCTTGTGAGTCCAAATGGCATATTCCTCTAATATTGTGTTGTATGTGGATTGTGAGCTTAATGAATGATTAATGACTAGTTATGATATGTTGTATCTTTCACATGTGTTTAGACAATTTATTCCTCTCCCAATAGATAAATTGTGGCCTCTCACATGATGTTTAGATAATGCATGTTTAACTAAGTCATCCTTATGGATTGCTTGGACTATGAGCTTAATGAAAGGTTCAATGACTTGATTTGATATTTGTTCTCTTCACATGATGTCTAGACAATATATTCCTCTACCAATAGATGTATTGTGGCCTCACACATGTTGATTGAGACAATTTGCACTTGTTGGGTCACCCTTACCAATTGAATGTCTTTTACACACACAACATTGTTGCAACACATTCATTTCCCTCATTAGTCACTTGATTATGGTTTGGAATAGTATGGTTTGGTGGTGATCTCTACACCCCAAGACCTTTCCTTCTTACTTATTCTTTATCTTAATGCATTTTAATTAATTCTTTTCTAGAAGTAATCAACCAACCCAATTCTCTTTTGCAATCATTTGATACGCTAGAGTTGAAGTTGAAATTCCAACACGTATAATCCTTTGGGACGATCCCTACTCACTCTTGCTACGTTAGTGGTAGTGCTGGTAGTGGTTTTTATAAATTTAAATTTGACATAAAAGGCTTTTCTTGAACCATATATTCACTACATTCAGTTTTGCGTATTGAAACGGCCGTCGTCAAGCCCCCTCTCCCCTTTGGCTCTGCCCCTGGGTAGTAGTTACAAAATATAAAAATTTACTATTTTTTAAAGAGAATTTGGCGCCAATTAAACCCCGGGAGATATGGAAAATAATCAAAATGCGCGCGTATAGAGATAGAAAACAAGTGCTGAGAGAGAGAAAGGGAGAAAGAATGGCTAGACATCCAGATCTCCAAGCCTCCAATTTCTCTCTCCTTAATAGCTTGGATTCTCAGGTAACCCGTCTATTCCCTTTTACGGTGTTCAGTTTGTTTTTCTGCAGAAGATGATATTGTATTTTCTGTTTGGTTGCCCAGAAGATCGATTAAGGAAAAGCAATGAGAAACTTACTCAAGTTCTCTTTTCTTTTTCTCAGCAACCAAATAGAGCATGAAAGCTTCAAAATTTTCTCACTCCTCACAAAATTTATTGGTTTTAGGTTTTGGGTTCTTCTGACTCGCTCTGGCTTCCTTCTGGTTTGTATTAATTCTCTCGGAAAGATCTTTACATTCCAGTTAAACTCGTGCCCTGTTCGCTTGTCCAGAAAACACAAGAAATGATAGGAAAACCTTAGGGTTTTGTTCTTTTCATTTCGTTCTCCTCAATTTCTCGGCAAATGAATGGGGCACCAATGAGAATGTCATATGGTTGGGGAAAATTACTGACTTCTGTTTGTGTTTTCTTTACTTATTTTTTTTTCTCTTTCATTTTTGAACAAGAACCTCCTGACATCAGAAATTGGTTCTCGAGCTATGTGTATGAGTCTCCGGAATCGAATAGAGGTGATGATTTTGAAGGTTGTGATGGTTTTAAGGGAAGTAATGGCGAGAAAGAGGGGTTTGATATTGAAGTGGGCAACAAAGAAAAAGAAGAGAATTTAAGGGTGCTCAGAATAGTAGGAAAAAGCGATGAAGTAGTTGTTGATGAAAAGGTAGCTTCAAATGGGTTTGTTAAAGGGATTGACTTTGTTGAAGATAGCGAGTGTGCAAGGAAGGTACAATTTTTTAACTTCTCTTTGCCGTTTTGTTTTATTATGTTTTAAATTAAAAAACATCATCTACTTCACACTAATATCCTTCAAATTTTTAATATATTATTATTAATTTTTTTTGGGTGTAATTATGATTTTATTCAATACTTGATGACTTTGGTTGGATTGTAATTAGATTAATCTTAGATGAAACTGTGGTACATAAATTGGTGGGATATATGCACTCGGGCATACGGTCAGCCGTGAAGTGATAATGAAATAATCATCCCTTGTATATAAGGCCTTAACACTGATGATACACATATTGGGAATTTTCTTTAATTATTGTAGAGTTGGAATTTGATATCAAACTTCCATTGCTAAAGAGAAAAAGGAAACAAGTTCAATTTTAGGGTTTATGTTCCTTGTTGATCATTAAGTCAACTATTTTTTAAATCTATTTCCTGCTTTGCATATAAGATGGAGAATCTAGGACCACCTTCAGTTACAGGAATAGACAATGACGACATAGATTATACATTGAACATAGTTTGATACAGTATTTCCTTATTCTTATTTATATTGAACAATAAAGAGAAAAATATATATATTACCACTCCTTAACTTGCTTCTTCCATTCTGTTTGGAGTACAAAGGTTGAGATGCAAGTGCAAGGTTCACAGCTTATGGTAGTTTTCAGTACTTTTTTTTGGTGGATGAAAAATTTCTTTATTGGTTGATGATGTCCTAAATAAAAAGTGGATTCGATGTCAATGAACAATTTTATTTTATTGGTTGTCTTAAATGGTATTCGAGCCTTGGTTATAGGAGGTCTTGAGTAAAAATCTGTGTCCTACTTGTGCAAGTTTGCATTTATTTTGTTCAGCCTGCTTATCTCTTCAGTCTTCATGTGCAATAAGTAGTTGTACATGAGAAAATTGTTTTGTTCATTCTGTAACAGTTAAAGTTTTTTTGATAATTAGTTTACCCCTACGTTGTATACACTTGGTGAAAGAAAATTTAAAAGATGGTTAAGGATGAAATTTACCAAAATTGAGAGGAAAGTTGAGCTTGAACTTTGAAGGCAATTTTGGATCAAACTCATCACAAAAGAAGTGGAGTTCATACACTATGCATGCCACTATCTGCTAGTAATGTTATTAGTGGATAGTAAAAAAAGTTTGAAAATCACCTACTCAGTTGGATTCTTGTTTTTTCACTATATATTATTTGTCTTTTTAAATGAAAATGACAATAAATGTTTAAAAAACATATGAAATATATGACATATCATCGACGTAGACATAAGAGGTTGTGATTATTGATGACTTCATAGTATATTAAGCCTCCCAGATTACGAGTTTATTTAGTGATTCGGAAGTCAGTACATCACCTCTAACTTGAATTTGACTTAATGTTCCAGAAATATAGATCACTAATTGATGCTGTCTGAAATGGCCGTTTAGCTGCTTCAAGTGATTTTTTTATTAAATTTACTGAAACCTTTTCTTTTCCTTATTATTATTATTATTATTTATAAATAGAGGCAAATCAAAAAAATTTTGATTTACCTATAAAAAAATTTTTCATCCATGCCATCCAGTCATTCCTTTTATCTACTTCAGGGGGAACTTGTATGGTGTGCCTCAATCCTTAAGTGAAGGTAATGTCTACCAAGTAACTTTTGTTAGGTCGAAGCATTTATGCTGTTTGCAGATTACATGACCTCAAGCTCCAATGAACTTGAGCTTACTATTTATAAGTCCTCTTGGCAATATATTATTAGAAGGTTTCACTAGTTAAATGATCTTATCATCAGTATGCAGACTTGTGGTGGTCTAACGAATCAATTACAAAATGTTCACGTCTCGACCTCAAAGTTGTGACTTTTCTTTCTTCAATATCTTTTCTCGAGTTTTCTTTTTGTTTTCCTTAACACAGGTGTCTGCTACAGATTTTATTTTCTATCTCACTGCTTAGAAAATTTTGGAAAACAAAAGAACTCAATATCTTTTACTAGATTGAGTTCAAAGTACTAAGATTAATAAGTAATATATTTCCTTTTCAACTACTTCTCTTTAACTAAACAGTTAAACTTAAAATTTTTAGATGTCACTCAAATTTAAATTTTTTTTATTACTATTTCTTTTTCCTGTTGCAGGTTTTGGATTCTTCAGATTCTCTCTCGCTTTCCTCTGGTTTGTAAAACTTTTCCCCATTTTTTTTTTCAAATTCCAACAAATGCTCAGTTTGGTCCCTGCAAAACCATAGGAAAAGAAATGAAAGTTGGAACCTTATGAGTGGTTGGTTTTGGACATTGGAGTGGCTGCTGTTAGTCCAAGTTTCTTTACCTTCCTTACTTTTCAGCGACCAAACCGAGCACCAATCAAACTGTCTAGGAAGTGCTAACTTCTCTCTTTATTTATTGGTTTATCAGAGCCTCCCAACCTTAAAAATTGGTTCTCAAGCTATGTGTATGAATCTCCGGTATTGGATACAAGCGATGATTTTGGACTTTCTTATCTTGAAGAAAGTGAATGTGACACAGAGGGATTTAATGCTGGAAAGAGCAGCAAAAGAAAAGAAGAGAATTTGAAAGAATCTACCAGAGCTGGGAAAAGGGATGAATTGCTTGCTGCTGAGAAGATGGATTTTAATGGGTTTGTTAAATGTAACAACTCATTTGAAGGAAGAAAGAATGATCACCGCTATGTACGGAAGGTGCTCTTCTTTATCTATTCTTCTCCCCTTTTGTTCTTTCTGCATTTCATAATTATTATTAAAATGTAATTCGTAGTACTGTTCTTCACTAATGGAAGTTCTGTTATACATTTGAAGATTGTAACCTAGCGGCAGAGCACCGGGTCTTAATCTCCTGTGAAGGCCTATGTCATGAAATTTAATTGGATTATCAAGAACCTTCCATATAGTTTATTTCTTATGGGATTTGACTGAGTTTTACGTAGTGTAACTGAGTAAAATTTTTCATACCTATTGGTTATGTTGATCTGGACTACAAATTTTAATCCAATGATACATTCACAACCTTGACGTCTCTCAGCGTTGGGGTGGGGAGGGTGGGTAATTAAATCTTAATTAACTAGAAATGTTTTTCAGCTTTAAAGATGCAGCTGTTATATATTTTCTTCCTAAGCTAATGTTTGTTTTTTGGAACTTTAGGGCAACCATGGGGTTGATGGGTGCAAAAACTCTGGTGTCCTGAATGACTTGCCTTTGAGAAGGATTTCTGAAGACATCTTGGAAGAAGAAACAGCACAAAATCCTTATATTGATGCAGCCAAAGCTGTTGAAAATTCAAGTGCAAAATCTCCAAGAAAGTCGCTTTATGGGAGGGACTTCACAGCAAAACTCTTGGAAGGTAAATTTCAAACCGAAAATGTTGGGATTCAACCTCCTGGAAGTAAATTGGATTTGGTTGCGGTAAATGGAGATTCAATGAGAAAACCAACTAGTGGAAGCAATAACAAAGAAAATGATGGACATGACTTTGCTGGAAGTGGTTTCATTTCTACAAAAAAGAGCAGTAGTAAAGGAAATGATGAGAACTCTTTGAAAAGGCCATTTGTTGTTCAATCTGTGTCCTCGAGAAACAGGAGTTCAGTTTCACCGGCTAGTGACAAGGATGCTATCATAGCAAGAAAAGTATTATCAGAAACGACCAATATTCAACGTTCTGATGCGCTGGAAATCGCTGGAAAATGGCGGTGTCCCCAGAAAAATAAGCCACATCTTGGCCCTCCTTTAAAGCAGCTCCGACTTGAGCAATGGGTTCGTCGAATGTGAAAGTATCATCTGTAGGATTGTAGGAACATCAGCTTGAATGTTTGGTATATGGGTCCTAATTGAGAAAGTAATAGCCTGTTAATTTATTGTCTGTTGTACATTTGGCCTATCAATTCATGGCTTTGTATGATCTTTCTAAATTGGTGGAGCTCCTAGGCAATGTGAACAGGAAGAATTGTTACCCTGCTGATACACTAAGATCATTGGAATTGCATAATCAGCTCTGTATCTCTTTAACTCTGTATTGAGCTCTTATTTTGTTTTGGAATAAATAAATAAAACAAGGTCTCTTGTGTTTCATTTCTTTATGTTAATGAAAGTTTTGTTTCTGCAGAGCTTGAAACCAACTTCTCCGCCTCGGAACTGGAAATGGATCTACAATGAAAGCACAGGATCCTCAAGAGGTTAAACTTGAGGATCGCTTAGGAATTAATCCAAGTAAAACATGCAGTGCAAGACAGTGAATTTGAGAGTATTTATCATATGGATGACATAGAATTATGTGTTTTGTAGATATATTGAAATTAAAATGTGCTTTTAACTAAACCAATAGAATGACCTACATCAATAAGCATTACGGAATGACTTAATTAGTAGAGTGCCAAACACTCTAAACTAGTTTAGTGTTCAACAAGGGTGAACAAATATTTCGTCAATCTGGTCCGAATCAATTCGATCCTTGTGGTTCAGTTGGGTTTTCATATCTTATGGTTCGGTGATGGTTTAGAAAAATAGCAATCCGCTATTTACGGTTCGATTAATGGATTGGGTCCTGAAAAAATCGATACGATCCGTTAACCGAACCGATCCGTCACCTTAATTATATATTTTGTTTTGTTCTATTTGGATAATTTATATTTGGTATTGTAATATTATTTTTACTTTTGGATAATTTACAACTCTATTTTGTTATTAGGTAATTTAAGTTTGTGGGCTGCCATTTGAGTTAAATAATAAAGGTCCGCCCCTTTAAGGGACATATGCAACCGACCCCGGCCAACAACAGGTTCTACCACTACATGGCCCAATCATAAAGAGTTTGCTCTTGGTTCAGAAGCAAGGCGTCCTTGACATATATATGTTAAAAAGTCCGTTACAGGTTTTTAATTATTAATTTAATATTTTAATGAGCCATAAAGTGTAATCATATTGGGCTGTTTGAAAGCCCAATCCGTGTAAACTAAACCGATCTGATTCGTTATTTCACGAATCGATTTGAAGGTCTCCACGGATCGGTTCGGTTTCAAATTTCACCAATCTGTGGAGACCGAATTGGTTTGAATTTTATTCCCAAACTAAACCGATCCAATCCGTGATCAACCTTAGTGTTCAGGTACCTTCTTTCCGTCATTGTCCAAAAAATTATATTATTCTTTTTTGTCTAAAGTTGTAATTGTCTTTATTTCGAAAGGTATCTAAAATAATATTAATTTAAAACAAACACTATCATATATGTTTTGTTCCTATTTTTCAACACATGTTGTTTATTTTTATTTTACTTATTAGTGTTGGTAAACTATAAGTATATCGTATATATTTAAAATGAGAATTTTATTTTGGTATCTTTCACTCACCTCTCATGAGTTATAGAACAATTATTTGTATTAATTTTATATTTCAAATTTACATTTTTGTTAGATATATATCTCTTGAATGCCATTAATAAGGTATCATGATTTTACCTTTTCAACCTTAATCATTACTATTATACTATATTAATTAAAAAGTGAAGTTATAATGAATTTAATTTTGTTGAACGTCAAACTATTAATTATTATCTCTGTTTCTACAATTTATTTAAATATATTTATTATTTATTTTCAATTTAATTTTTTATTTTAAACCCAACAGTTTCTACCATTTCAAAAGTTGAAGAGACGGTCCACTTTCCAGGCAATAGCAAAATCTTCGAAACCCTACTTCCCTCCACTATTCGATTTGAAAAGACCCAATTTACATCATGGAAGTATCAGAGTAATCGAACCCTCCTTTTGGATTCTTCTTGTGGATGCGTTCGAATTCAGAGACTCTCCAACTCCGATTCCGGTAACGTAATTACATATCTCATGCACTCGCAAACATACACATATATATACACACATGTATTGCTTCAATGTTATAGATTATTTTGGGTTGGCTTTAATACCATAACGACTAAAATTAGGGAGAGTGGTAGACAACCCACTTTTTATTTTTTATTTATTTATTTATTTTTCAATAATTGTTTGACTAAAATTATTTGAAAGTAATTGAATTTTCTTTTGAGAATGCATATGAGTTGAGACAGGTATTATAGACTGATCGCTTAAAGTCTCTTGCATATATGATTTTGCATAGAAGACCTTGAATATGTTATTTTGTTTCTTTAAATAAAATTAATAGATATTGGGGGAAAAATGCGCCTGTGCTGCAAGTTTCCCAAGAAGAACTGAGAATTAAAGAAATAAAAAAATGAGAGGAATAAAAGAATCCAGCAATTAACTGATATTGCATTTTTTATTTCTTTAGTTCTTAGTTCTTGGGAAACTTGCAGCACCGCCACCAAGCACATTTTTTCCGACACGTACATGGGTATGAAATGTGTCATAGTTCCTCTAGTTATGGTAGCAGAAAATTTGTTTGTTAGGAAGAGTTCTAACATAGAAGATAGGTAGAATCTATCTTCCTTTGATCATATTCCAATTAGTTTCATTTAATCAAAGTTAAATTATTATGGTGTAGAAGGCAGGAGCTAAAGAGGGCAACTGAAGATAACATGGAATGAAATCATATGAGATGATTTAAATAGTCAAATATAAGGCAATGATGAATCGATGATGATTGAGTACTTTAACAAATAATAGTATGATTTTTATACTTTAACAAATAATAGTACGATATGGGTTGGCTTTCCGAGCCTCATATGGGTAGGGATGAAGGATTGGGTCTCTGTAGGCCGGATGGAGATATGATGCTGAGGCCACAGATGGATTCTTTGATTGCTGTTTCCGACAAGACGACAGTTTGCGTTTGAAAGGATTTTCACATTACCCTTAGCGACGACTGACGAGTCAGTTGCTCTGTTGGTTCAGGAACTGAAAAAACACAGGACTCTGTCCGTTGATCATACCGTTGCTCCGGACACTTAGTTTGATGGAAAGGAAAGGATGGTGGGGCGGACAGTGTTGTTGACTAGATGTCCTGTGTTGGTGAGGAGGAGAAGATGGATGATGGTGTAGGAGAGGTGTTGAGGGATGAGCAGAGTGGGGCGCTTGACATGATTTTGTGGGCCAAGGAAGGACATCCAAACTTGGGGGTGGTTGATCCCCTTGTGAGACCGGAAGGTATGGAGAGTGATGATGCTAGGCAGGACTGTGTTGACGTAGGCAAGGAGTGGGTTAATGAACATATTGGTGTTGCTAGTGAGCTATTGGGTGTCTCCTTTAACGGTAACTGTAATCAAGCATTGTCAGTTCTTCATCCGATGGTGGAGGGGAGAGAAGGGGAGATGATGAAGAAGTCTAGGTGGGGGGTCAAAGGAAGAGGACCTCCCCCTCTTGGAAAGGGGAAATGGAGGTGAGAAATATTCTCTCTTATGGTTTTTTTTTTTTGATAAATAAAAGTTGATTAGAAGAGCGTTCAAAAGGGCAACGCGTCCCTAATACAAAAAACTACGCGTCCCTATAAGGAATGGGGGAGGGGGGTAACGGAGGGGTGATTGACATTGTTTCCTCATGAAGCTACGACTCATTTCTTGGAATGTTCGTGGTGTAAATGACCCTGACGAGAGGAAGGTGGTGAAGTTGGCAGTGAGAAAATGGGGGGCTCATGTGGTTTGTTTGCAAGAAATGAGGTTGCTTCGATGGCGGATAGGGTGGTTAAGCTAAGCAATATATATTAACACACACATTAAATGTGTCGTATGTAACAACCAATTTGGTTATATTAAGTGAATTTTAAATTTTAAAAGAAAAACTTATCTATATATCGTGAAATCACGGTTGTCACAACATCTCTATCATATTGCCAACACTGCGCCAATAGTATATGGCATGCATATATTTTAACAGCATACCATATGATGTCGTTATACTTATTCCCTATTAAATAATAGAGAAGACAACTTTTCATAATCATTACCCCTTTACCTTCCTAAACCATGAAACTTGTACAGCTTTTGGTGTTATTAATTTTTAACTCTATCAACAATTTATGGAGAAATCGCGTTATCTTAACGTTCGCTATCAATTTTCATTTTGCACACCATTCTACCAATCATTTAAGTTGCTTGCTAGGATAAAGAGGGAGGGGGTGGGGAACTAGATGGCATTGGATGGGTGACTCGTCTTAGCAAGACAACCAAGGGCATAACTACATGGGGACTAAGCGGGTCTGTGGCCTCCCAACATTTTAAAAAAACTAGGAAGTGGGTTATTTATTCAATAATATGAAAATATTTGATGTGTGGTCCCCAAACCATAAAGAAACCTCATTTTGGGCCTCCTTTTGTCTTGCTTTTGAAAGTCTTCATTTTGGGAGAGGTAAAAAATGCAAATATTTCTAGTATTCCCATTCTTCTCGTTTTGTACTCTTAAAAGTGTTGAAATACTTTGTTTGTAAATAATCTACTTATATCTTATTTTTAACTGACAATCTATACTAACACTTCTATTCTAAAAGAAACAGTGATAATCTTTTTCCCAACTACTTTGGGATGACTTCATGAATCGTATTTTTCCATTCAGCTCTATCTAAGGCGATGACCTTGGTGGTCAAACCACACTCTACCAACATGAATTTTGACTTTCCTATTCCCTTATATTACACTCAATCACTCTTTTTAAATGGCACAATTAAACGTCTTCGTTGCACATGTTCAAAGTGTCTTAACCGATTTTCTCTCATTTTCTCTACAATTAGTGCTACTCCAACCATCTCATGAATGTGATCATTCCTAATTTTATCATTTTTAGTGTTATTACACATCCATTTCAACATTTGCATTTCTACCATGCTTGCTTTTTTCATATGTTGTTTCCTAGCTGCCAAACATTCTGTCCCATAGAGTACGACTGGCCTAATATATGTTCTATAGAACTTCGCTTGCATTCTTTTTGTTAGTTGCGTTGATCACACAACATACTAAGTGTCCGTTTGTCGTTGCTGTTGTAATGGTAAAAGTGCTTTTATTAGTAGAGCCGTCATAAAAGTGCTGTCAGTAAAAACATGTTAGGTGTTTGGTGATGCATTATATATATCCCTTTTAATACTTAAAGCACTGTTAATTTTTTTTGGTAACAA